TACAAATCCACGTGGCATATTATAGGGAAGCAGCTTTATGATGCTATTCTATCCTTTTTCTCCACTGGCTCTATGCCTAAGCACGCCAAGGCTACTACCCTTGCTCTGATTGCTAAAAGACCCCATGCTCAAGACATTACAGATTATAGACCTATTTCACTCTGTAATACCTTTTATAAAATCATTGCCAAAATTTTAGCAAACAGAATGAAGGATGTTATGCCTTATATTATCCACCCTAGTCAGTTTGGATTTATTAAAGATAGAATCATCACTGATAACATTTTGCTTGCGGATGATTTGCTTAAGGAGTTCAATAAGAAAGGCAACCAAAAATACTTTTGTGCTAAATTTGACATCCACAAGGCTTTTGACACGGTTTCAAGAGAATTTTTACTTAGTCGACTGATTGCTAAAGGCTTTCCTTCAGCCTTTGTTTCTTGGATAAGAGGTTGCATTTGCGACGTGCATTTCTCTATATCTATTAATGGAGCTCTTGAAGGTTACTTTAACTCTTCTTCTGGCTTAAGGCAAGGGTGCCCCCTTTTACCCTATCTCTTCTGCATTGTTATGGACAGTCTTTCTTCTTGTTTTGAGGAAGCCAATCTCAATAACACCTTTGAAGGCCTACAAGCTGGTAATGAATCCTTCTCCCATCTCCTATATGCTGATGATCTTCTGGTTTTTGCCAAGGCCAATGAAAGCAATGCACATTCTCTTAATGAGATCTTACTTATCTTTGCTAATTTCTCTGGCTTGAAAGTGAATAGTAACAAGAGCAGCATTCTGCTTTCTATGAATACTCAGTATGACCAGGAGATTGCTAATATTCTAAACATTCCAATATCTTATGTTCCTGTCAAATATCTTGGAATTCCTATTTTTAGCAAGAAGCTCAAAATTTCTGATTTTCAACCTCTTATGGTTAGAATTATGACCTCCCTTGATGGCTGGAAAGAAAAATCCCTATCTATTGCGGGCCGTTTACAATTTTTGAAGTACACCATTTTCAATATTATTAGTTATTGGGTGAGAGGCTCCTTAATCCCCAAAACCTGCATCAAGAAAATTAACAGCCTTTGTTCTTGGTTCTTATTTTATGGTGACATTCACAAGAAGAAAATTCACATGATCTCCTGGAAAGATACATGTAAACCTAAAACTGTTGGAGGATTGGGTATTCCCACTATTGATTCGTTATATTATGCTTTTGGTTGAAAAACTATTTGGAGATTCTTAAACAATGATGCCTTACTTTTTAACTGGTGGAAGATCAAGTATTATTCTTTTTGGAATTTCAAACTCACTAAGAGCTCTTCTTACTGGCATTTTCTTTGTGATATTACAAAATCTTTTAGACAAAACCTGACTCTTAATATCACTGCCTTCAGTAAGCTTTCTTTTTATTGGGATCCTTGGTGTTTGGATCTCTCTGTTGCTGAAAGGTTGGTTAATGATAACAGGGAAGATTTAATTCCCTATTCTGATTGCTCTGTTAGTAACTGTTTTTCTGCTGGCACTTGGTCTTTACCTTTCACCATCCCTCCGAATTTAGCTGCTCTGATTTTTTCTGTGTCTAACTCGGGTAACACGGTGATTTCAAGCTGGAATAGCAATGGCAAACCTTCTTTCCACACCTTTCATAAGAATTTTTTTCAGGGTCTGGAAACTATTAAGTGGTCTAATTTTATTTGGTTTAAACATCATGCTACCCGTTTCTCTATATACTCTTGGATGGCTTTTAGAAATGGGCTTAAAACTGCTAATGCGTTGATCTCCAGGGGTATTCCGGCTTCTCCTGAATGTGTTTTTTGCAAAACTGAAAAGGAAAACATTAAACATCTTTTGTTTGAATGTGATTTCTCCTATAATATTCTCCTAAATACTATTCCTCAGATGAGTTGTATGCTGTTTAGACCAAATCTGTGGCAAGTTTTTAACTCCATTGTGGAAGGGGATATGTATCATAGTCGAAAAAGCCTTTGCTATCTCTTGCTTACTGCTATTGTTTATTACACCTGGAAGGCTAGAAATGACAGGCTTTTTGGGAATACTATTGATTGTCAAACCACTGTTATTGGCAACATTAAGAGAGCTGTTATGCTTAAGATTTTGAAGAAGAAATGCTTTCAAAATTTACATCATTGGCTGGAATGAATTGGCTTGACCTCCTGGGCTGGCTCCTTTGGACTGCGGAAGTTTATCACCTAGATGACCTTCTTTGGCAACCGGGCAACATGGTTTTGAAGGGCAATGATGAATGCAACATTATTTCTATCCCCTTGGATGGTCTTTTAGGCAACCAGGGGACCCAATCATCCGACTGGATGAATT